CGGCTATGTATTTCAGTGAGATTTCATATGAGTGCATTTTTACACAATGAACAAAAGAAAAAAAATGTGAAATAGCATATATACGATTAATATGTTACGTGGCTTAGGCTCTTTGCTGTGAATCACACGATACATCGTTGCCATTATTAGGCTTGCTATACGTTGTTTGGTCATTGCTTTTTAGATGTGACTCAAAATGTGATCGTCGTTATTGGAAAATATATCTAATCAAATAATGTCTACTTAATTTTTAAACATATGTGCAATAATTTATATAATTTCTATCGCGATCAACAACGATCTATCTAAACCACATCTAAGCTCTTGAACGGCTATTGTGACCTTGCAATCGTCGCAACTGCAGGTAATTATTAAATTTGTTCTAAAATAGCAACATCCCAATAATCTCGATCTTTCCCAGATTTGTTGCTAATCTATCTTTTTGATCTTTAATTTTATATAAATTATTAAATTTATATATTACAAATTTATATTATATAGTAGGATTAAATTAATAATAGATTTTATTTACGTAATCAGCGATTTTATTAATTAAAGTGATCGATTAAATATTCTGGGTCAGCCATCTCGAATTATAATATGTCAGAAATACGTGCAAATAATTTTTGTAACTTGACGTGCGCGTAAACGAGATTGTCTCTGTTTGATAAAAAATGGTTCATGAAATGAATGTAAATCGTAAAATTTATTTGCGCACATTTCCTCATTGTCCAAGATATTTGACGTAAGCGTCGAGAAACTTCAATATACGTTTCAAAGACTTTCGTACCGTATTTTGGCATCAAACTGCGGTTGCGACTGTCAGCCTTCTGTCGAAGAGATGCCCCCCGTGTAATTTGTCAGAATAACCATATTATCCGCGATGCAGTCTTGAGAGACTCTCCTGGACAGTTGCACTCACTCCGGATCGTAGTCGCGCTGCAGACAACGGATCGATCTGGAGATCGTTTTGCGCTGATGCGCCGTGCTCCGTCAAGTGTTGACGGATTGCCTGACGAACAGGTACTCGGAGAATTGCTGGCCCTCGACGCCGCCGCCGTTGCTCGCGACCACCCGGAAGCCGGCGTTCAGCAGTCTGGTGATCGCCTGGACCGAGTTAAGCTTGCAATAACCGTTCAGCGGAAACCTGATTACGTGACGGGCGTCCTGCTGGTGCCAGGCGACGCCGGATCGCGCGTCGATCACCGCCTGCGTCGTCTCCGGGAACACCTCGTCCAGGAGGGCTCGTCCGCCCGAAAGCATCACCCGCTCGCCCAGATCCGGGCTCACGTGTAACGCCACGCACTCGTAGCTGCAATTGCCGTCGTTACCGCGCATCTTCTCGGAATCGCGATTGCAAGGCCCGGTGGTGCAGGCTGTGGTGCCACGACCGGAGCCGAGTTGACCGGAGAGTGGCGGACTCGGCGATGACACTGTCATCATTGTTGTCGAGCCGTTTTTTATGCGCTCTTTCTTCATCTGTTCCAGTTGCCTGCACATCGCTGAAAGAGAGATACGTTTACGTTAGGTTCATGATCTTACGGTGGATTGTTAATTTAACGATGGATCATATTTAAGGATATTGACAATTAATTCGTTTGAAGTTTTGTAATGTTTATTTTCTGATAATATATTATTACATTTTATGTTTCTCGGGTATAAATATATATGATAAATTATGAAAGCGCTTTGAAAAATTTTCTACGTGAAGCTAGATTTTTATCGAAATGAAGTGTGTACACTGATTATATTGTCCCGAGGGACCAATTTCCTTATTTCCATTGCCTTATTTTTATCTTTTTATAACACTCAAAGTTCTGTGTATTACTTCTGTAATCCAGTAAACAACTACTTCAGAGTTTGTTATTACTATTCTATTACAGAGAGCTACATATTGCACAGTTGGAAGTCGGTCGAGAAAATTAGAAGAGAAATGATATATTGCCAAACGATATCGCGATTTGTACATTAACTCTCTCGGGTGATCTCTCGTCAGCCACGGGAATTGTTGCTCTTCTAATATTTTACGATTGACATCTTTTTTCATACAATATGTTTAAAAAATTGTTAAGTGTCACACAAGTGATTAAAGTTAAACAATGAAGAAAAAACTAATTGAGTAATCAACTTACGGGCAATATCAAAGTATCGTGCTTCTTCTAATAGTAAATCGAGATCGGCAAAGTTGTCGGGTATCAGTAGCCGGGAATTTCGCATAAAATTGAGTATGTGCCGGAACATGCCGCCGTCTCTATCGATAAAGTAATGTTGTTTTAGCGAATCCAGGACGATGGGGATGCTGCCATTAAACAATTTCGCTAGCCTAGATTCCGGATATCTGAAAAAAGTTACAATATTTTTTTTTAAATAAAATTATCATATGTGAAAGTAGCAATTTTTTATAGCCTATAAGCATCAATCGCAACAAACACACACATACATTGATAGCTGGAAGTGCGTTCGAGAAAGTCTTAAAGATTTATGCAAATTTTGAATAGATTAATATATCATCATAATTGATTACATTATCATTGAAGATGTAATATTGTATCGATATTCAAAGTCTAGGAAATTCAATATTGTAGAGATTTGCATCGCGTATTCAATGTAACAATGTGAGAATTGCGCTTTCTATCGACCAACAGTTAACTGAGTGTTGGCAGGTGCTGATACTTTGGTCACCTGCCGAAATCGCTTCAGGTACCATGTAGCTTCAAATGATGGTTCAGTACAAGCAGCTGTTCATTGAATAAATTCCGACTCAGCGCGCGCGCGTTGCTTATCATTAGTTAAATTTAACCGTACACAGTTTGATATACCAAAGTATCATAATCATTTTACAGAATTTTCGATGCATGTATGTATCTGTGTGTGTGTGTGTATGTTATAAATAATTTATTTATAATATATGTTTTTTTTCGCGTATATAAAATCTCTTATACATCAAAATTATATAGAGATATTAATAAATATTTAAAAATCAGAATATTTTAAAGTATCCAAAAATATCTCTATAGATTATCTGAGTAGATAAAAAAAGCAGAAAATAATAAAAATGACAGTTCTTCAGACTGAGGATAAAATAAAATAATTATTAAAATCCATTAGCTAAAATTATTTAGACAAAATTCTGTTTTTTTTTCATTCAATTTAATTAAAAGAATTGTTTATTACTATCAGAGGAAATAAAGAAATAGAAAAGAGATATGCAGAATTCTATCAACAATTGTCACGCGTGAATCAGGATGTAACAACAGACTTGTTTACTTTGTAAAAATATTTAGGATAAGAACGTACGCGTGAAATGTGCTTTAATAGATATGCAGATGCACGCGAGTGTGTCTCGCAATGGCGGGTCCATTGCATCGTGTCACATTTTTCGGCTTCTTTAGAAAGTGCCCGTGACATTTTCGAGCGCGTTTCACAGCACACGTTTGCGGACACAACATCGTTCAAAGTAGGCTGTGACTAATCTTCTTATTATAATATCTCGACACTATCGTTGCCATTAAGATACCTACCGTACTTCGGAGTTATATCTCGAGAATAATGAGATTAATTTGACGTTTCGTTACGCGCTTAATCTCGCTATAAATTAAAGCAAGGAAACTAACAAAAAAATTATACTTTTTATTCATTTGTATAGAAAGATAATTAAATTTAATTTTAGGAGTCATCTTATCTTATTAGTCATATTGTGAGAAAATACATTAGAGCTAGTATGAAAAAAAATCTCCCATCTGTTCATTTGCAATTTCTTAAAATGTATATTTCACTTTCTCAATTTTTTTTCTATCAGCCTGATAAATTGATTTTGTATCAAATATTCTGTTTTAGTTTCCTAAGAAGTACTTTCGATTGTATTTTTTAACATGTATTATTTACATGTACTATAAAGATTGATAAATTTCTTATTTCAACTGTAATATATTTGAAATTAATTTTATATAAGATTAAATAGTGTTAATAAAGTTAATAGCGTAAAGTTAAAATCCGAAAACTTATGGGGTTTGCTCAACGACTGTGCTA